GGGCAGATCGATAATGATTCACAATCCTCGAAGATCAATTCAAACGATACAGAGGAATACGAGGACAATTGGGCAGAAGAAAATGCTTTGGATTTGATCTCGCTACTTGATAATATGGAAGAGACTATTATTCTTAATTAGTTATTATTACCCTTTCATGCAATGATTTATGTATATACTTAACCCTTGTTCTGACACTTAAACGCTGCTATTGATAAGAATTTTTATTATAATTTAGGATAGCTTTATTGATTTCCTTAACTATTCATACGTAATCATTCATAATAGCTTAAATACCTAAATGTTATTTTTCCATTTTCCGTTCATTTTAATTCATGAAATTAATAATGAAGGTGAACGTGACTAGTAAAAAAAATTGATAATAATACTAAAATCTCTCATCGTGTCATAATTTGATAATAATTGCATTTTTGAGCTAAAACAATAATTAATTTAATTAAAAGCAAAACATAAATATTTCGATATCGAGGATAAAAGAAAATATATGTTTTAAAGTAGAATACTTCAAAAATAAATAGAAAGAACGTGAAGCCATGATAACATTCTGATAGAAATCGAAATTAAAATACATAACAACCTTCCCGAAATTCGTTTTCTGTCATAGTCAAGCGGAATGGCTCAGCCTGGTATATCATACCAAGCTGAGCCGTGGAAATATATCGTTGATGGCTCAGCCTAGTATATCATACCAGGCTGAGCCATGGAAATATACGGTTGATGGTTCAGCTTAGTATATTATACCAAGCTGAGCCGTGGAAATATACGGTTGATGGCTTAGCCTAGTATACCATACCAGACTGAGCAATTTAACTACTTTTAAAAACTCAACTAAATATGCCATACCAGGCTGAGTCGTTCAACTATTGTTGATGGCTCAACCTAGTATATAATACCAGACTCAACTATGAAAATATATGTTACGGGAAATTGAGTGAGACGTTTTCATAAATGAAAGGACAAGTAGCCGGAGAGAACCATAGGAAGATATTAAGTTGGTGTAGGCCAGTTCGTATTTGACTAGACCTGCACTATACTATTAGGTTGAACACTCTCGAAGTCATGATCACGGCTGCAGTCCTTTCTCCTTTGAGAAGGAGCTCAACAAAGTAGTTTAGTACAGCCTGATAGTTGGACTTGGTGAGTCAAAATGATCACGAGTCAAAGAAGGGATTAGACTGAAAGCCGGCTTTAATATGGGTTCCTCAATCTATAAACTTGAATAGAAGGGCGAATTCTTACGAGCTGAGATGAGAATTCACATGAACAGTCAGTGAAATCCGGTGTAAAATATTCGTTGTTTAACAAGCTACAGTACTATTGCTTATCATTACCATATTTTTACGTATTCCATTACCAAACAATGTATAGCTAATACTGGCTTACGATACCTGTCTGAGCCGTTCAACATATTCCAGAGAATGAGAAGTATAAGAAAATTCCTCAATTTTATCTATATATAGAGTACCTATACCCCATATACTCAAACGGTATCAAACAATCAAAACTCATTCGAAACGTTCAACATTTTACATGAAAGGTTTATTTCTAACCAAATTGTTTTAAAAGTACGGAGAAAAATACTAACATTTGAATCATCACAGACAAAATGTTTGACTACGAAAATATTGAAACCTCAAGGAACCAATGGGCAAGAGTCGGTATGTTATCACATTATGATCTCAGATTACAATACAATCGTGTTCATACAGAGCATCAAATAAACGTACATGATTGGTGCTTCCTTCTCACCATATTGAGACAATCCATTCATCCGGAATATTTACGAACCCTAACAACTGCGGTATTGGAAGTTCAACAATTGCCACAGCTTCTGTTGGACAATAATATTGTTTTCCCAAATATCCCAAATATTTACAATAATATCGATATTGTAACTTCACTTGAGACTTGCATTGAGTGTTTATGGTTTTATACTCGGGATCCGGATTATGGATTGACACCTGGTGGCCCTTTTATCCAACGACGTTCCGGAATACTGCTCTATTACACTTTTCGAGAAATTGTTCGTATCGAGATGCAGTATATCATTGACAATATTCCCAATTTTACCAGGGAGGATTATGACAGTGTTCTACCCATTGTCAGCTCTGGTATTCGTGAACACATCGTCAATTTAACGCATCAAGTAATACCTAGCGACCCTTTGATACCATCACCCCGACAGTTGGAGAGAATACTTGAAATCCAAGAGAGATGGTATCAACTGAGTCAGCTGAACACCGACATCTATTCAGATTATACTCTGCCTTTATTGGTTTCACTCCTGGTACCCGATGATAAGCTTATTTCCTTGCCAATTAAACATTGGACATTTTTTATTGAAAGTCTTTCATCTCTATCACCGGTGATCACTCAGTGTGCAATGAAAGCAACAGAGATTCTCTACGGTGATTATGCCAATGAAGAGTTCATTCAGTCGGTAATGGAACGTAATCCAATTGGAGTCATGGATAATAGCGACGGAATATTGCTAAACCTACAAAATTTATCAATTTCCGTTCAAGTGCCAAATTCACGTGATATTATTGTTACACAGAGAGCTGATGTTACAAAAATCATCAGTGGAGATTTACTTGCTGTCATGGTATCGAGTGTTATTAGAATGATGTAAGGATTTTTTGCACATTTCAGTAAAGATTATAGGAACTTGGACAATAGAAAGAAACGCGAATTTCTAGCATCGTTTGTTGACAACAAATTATATTGTTACCACTAAATCAATATCGATTTAATCAATCATTTACTACGAATTTTTTCATATTCTATTTGAAATTTTAATAATTTTATCAATATGTATATCCATGGTTTCATTTCTTGTCACTATGTTTCCGCTTCGTTAATGAAATTACTGAATTATATAATCATCTAATTTATTAGCTTCATATTTGCTTGTAAGCATAATATTCTAAATGAATAACTTGATATGCATGATACATATTTACGAACCAGCTGCTTTTTTCTTTAGTATGATATTCTTGTTCGGCATATCGTTTCAAGCAGCCGTGTTTTGATCATTTCCGAATAATCAATAATCTTTTCCTAATTTCTATTGTCCGGAATATAAGATATGTGATTGTTAATCCTGAATGGTTACTAAGGCAACTTTGGCGGATCACATCAAATTTGATACACTAAATCATAACGATAACCGCCTTCCTTACGACACTTTACCCTCTATCTCACCTCCCACCTACATAATACCTCAATACTTACCTCGACTTCTACGGCTGAGTGCATGCACACCCACCTCGATAGTTACCTGAACACCTACATTTATGTCAATTTCCTACCACTCTCAAAGTTTTGTTGACTATTAATTGCCCCCATTTTTCGATGACTGTACTAAAACTGTTACTTATACCATATCTACACCTGTATCGGAATTAAACTGATTCCTGTTTGCCCTATTGTCTCTGTTGTATCTATGAATTACATGTAGCAAAAGGTGTTATTCGATAAAATACCAATTCAAAGGCATGGTTTTTTATATGCAATAATATATTCTTTACACTCATAAGCCAAAAAATGACAATCGCAACATTTTCAATACTTGTATTTTTTTAAAAATGAATTGAATAAGCGTTTGATCTTTGGAATATAAATGTTTCAAAGCCTATCAATAACAAATAATTAACTCATAAAACTGATGTCAATTTCAAAAACGATATGTCAATAGAACAAAAACAAAAAAATTCGGCAGGTAATTCCTGAATCATATAAATGCTTCCAATCCTTCCAAGCAACGTTCCGTAACTCAAATCCGCTGAATTCATTCCATCGTACCATAAATTCTTTTCCAGAAAATAAGAGTTTCAAAGCCTATCTGTAACAAATAATCAACTCATAACACTGATGTCAATTTCGAAAACAATAAGGTAATAGAACAAAAACAAAGCAATTCGGCCGTTAATTCATAAATCATATAAATCCTTTGAATCCTTCCAAACAACGTTCCATACTTCAAATCAGCTGAATTCATTCCAAAATACTAGAAATTCTTTTCCATATCACTCTCTGTAATTGAAAATAAATAATCACTATCCCAGTCCGCATCACGTTCCAAATTTCCTTCAACGGCAGTTTCGGGTTGGTTTTCCTCTTGGACTGGACTATTGTTATCGCCAATATCAGAGCATGGGACCTGAACAACTGTAGCACGCCTCAAATCTTCGACCAGAAAGTCTGGGATGTTGACATCGTGGATTTCTCTGTGAAGGTCAACAACCGAGCTTGGAATCATGGCTATAAAATATTTATCAGTATTAATTCTAGTACAATACAACGTATGGAAACATACTCAAGTCTGGCGTATTTTCGGCTTCAGAGTCTGGCCGATATACTGGTGTGGCACCTCCACCATCGGACATTCAGGATTGTTGTACATCAATATCATCCAACGCCAGATTCTCTTCAACATCAGTTGCAGTTGCAATGAGAGGCCGTCTAACTTCCAGCGCAAATCCCCTCGAACTGGTTGGTGCTGGTTTATTGGGATCATGATTGACAGTAACCTTTCGGTGAGATTTGAGTCTCTCAGATGCTCGAATAGGGGCAATACCAGTTCTGAGTGTTAGTCTACATCTTGGTACGATAGCAAATTGACTGGGGCCAGCGACCTCTATTTCTTCATGAGGAGGAACACTTTGAATCCGATTTCGTTCTTTGGTTGCCAAAGTTTATATCTCTTGAAATCAGCCCCTTTCCTGCCAAATTGAGGAATCAGATTGATTCCTTCCTGAACGGTCATATCCTGTTCAAATTTAAGATATCTTTTATAACCATCCACCGCATGAAAGTCAACTGCAGGCATAAGCTACCAATATTGGAATGGTTTTTCAAATCTACCGGATGTCCTGAATGATTTGATGGAGTTTTCCAAGGATTTTGCGATATCCATTAGACGGGGACAGAGGTGATGAAGATTAGCGACAAAAAAGTGCCATACATGTAAAGGGAACTTTTGTGAAAATGTCAATTTTCCATCCGTTGGGAGGAGACAAATCATAGCAAGTAGACAAGAGCGTAGGTAGTCATCATCAAAAAAACAGTTCCATTTCTTGCCATCTTTCAACCAGTTCCTGAGAGTTGTCATCGTGGTCATTGTCGTACGTGTTTGCTCTTGGTAAAGTCGAAGTAGCTCATCATTGACCTTTTTTTGAATACGAGTATTTCGAGTTCGATCTGACTTATCGACGCGGATACGTTTAGTGGGTGGGGAATTTTCTGTTACCACCTTGACTTGCTCACGTTGTGCGATGAAGATATCAAGACAGCAAATCCGGTGCATGATTTGATCTAACCGTCCTCTAGTTCCCAGGTTATTGAGCTCAAAAATGCGTTGAAGACAGATCAATTGAGAAGAATCAATTTGACTTTCGGTAGTTGGTCGCTGCAACCAGTTTGGCTGATTTGGTTTTCCGCCACGAGCATTGAAGAATACTTCCTGGAGTGCCAAAATATTCTCTGGCAACAAAGCTTGATATACCCATTCCAAGAGATTATCCCATTGCTTTGCTGTCAATCTTTTGGTGGGATCCTCTTCGTTATCATAAGACTGCAAAACTTTCAATTGACACTCCCAACCACGATTCTTCCATTTTTCAACCATTGTACCCGTTGGGCGTTCAATGTCTTCCTCTTCCAATCCTTCTTCAGGCACTTCTGGGGGTTCTTCGCCACCAACTCTGTCTTCTTCATCAAACTTTTTGCAGAGCTTTTGATATTCAACCGAATAATGATGGTGGATACGATATGCTTGTTCACGATTGCACGAACCATAAGGATCGTCAGGCAAATTAATAATATAATTGCCACGATATGCAATTTCGGTACTCGGAAGGAAATAGCTTCCGCCATCTCGTACCGGACGGGGTTGAGGAGTTTCTTGTTCAGAAGCTATTAGAGTGTTAGGAAACAGTTTTTTACCTGATCCAGAGATATTCAAACTTACAATCTTCGTCAGACGATCTCATGACCGGTTCTTCAACGTCAGGCATATAATTATCCTCAAGTACAGCCGAACGACCAACACGAGATTAAATCCGGTCCAAATTTGATTTTGGATTATCCGGGGGGCTTGACGTAGCAGGAGGGGATTGGGCTGACACTAAAAATACTTAATTAAAATTATTAGGGTCAAGAAATCAAGATCAACTTACTGTTTGTATGTCAGTAAACGTTTTAAGCTTTGTACTATCGTACGTTATAATTCGAGCTATCGTAGGAAACAATGTTAGTTTATCCATATTCCCGTACTCATTTTCATCAAAAAGTAAGTCAATAGCTCAAAAACTAAAGAAATTATGAACGGAAATACAATGGCTCTACCTGGTATACCATACCAGGTAGAGCCAGTACATTGGCTGAACCTAGTATAATTATACCATTCTAAATCAATAATAAAAATAAAATTAAATAATAATATACTTACTTCCAAATCAACCGGGAGTATGTAAAGGGGATGGAGAAGAAAAGAGATAAGTGAGTACTTGGGCAGTACTTATTCCATGAATTGTTGGATATATGATTAGTCATCATCGGAAGCTTTTTTTCTTTAGAATAGGAGAGTTTGCTTATATAATCTTCATATTGGTACCCTATTTACTTGAATATAAATTTTCGAGATAAAGCAGTATCCCAGTGCCGTTTTTATCTCATGTTCGATTATTGACATACCGGTTCGTTTGGTAATATTAAAGTTTGCGATGGCCATACTCATTGGGTTATACCTAATCGGGTAGCTCAATAGAAACAAGTTATAAGTACCGCTATTGCCCAATATTGCTCGGTTTCGAAATCGGACACCTCAATTGTTGTGACGTGCGCGATGGGCCCACTTCTTTAGCTATGCCTCATTCGGTAATGTCACCTTATGGCGTTACACGGTTGCATTTTTATTCAATATTGCTCCGTTTCCAAATCGGATCCGTCCGTTGTTGTGACGTGTGCGTTGCCGCCCCTCCTTTAGCTATGACTAATTCAGTAATGTTACTTTATGGCGTTACACGGTTGTATTTTCATTCAATATTGCTTTATTTTAAGGTCGGATCCCTCTATGATTGTGACGTTCGCGATGTGCCTATTACTTTGCAAATGCCTAGTTAGGTAACATTATATTCTAGCTTTACACGGTTCCGTTTTACTCAATACCGCTATGTTCTGAAGTCATATCCATCACGGTTGTGACTTAGGCGGTGCGCTAACTCTATTACCTTCGCCTAATATGCTAAATTCACGTAATGGAGTTACACGTTGCCGTTATTGTTCAATATTGCACCTTTCAAAAATAGTATCACTTTTATTTTTTCATTTTTTTGTTTCACTCATTTATTGAATGCAGGCCGTAGTCTATTGTAATACGACAACTCCAAAACTATCCTGCTAACCCCTGGCCACACCCACTAAAGGGTATTCAGCAAGCTTGTACTCCTCCGCCGCCTCCACCTAACTAAATGAAAGAAAAATAAAATAACAAGACTCCGCTTATGTCACACACTGTTTACAACAATTTGGATCTTTCTTCTTACCCTCCCAATTCCTTCGGGTAACCAAACAAGTATTTTTTGTAGTAAACCTTTATATTGCCAAACAATTGACGAATTGCTTTCATCCATGCCATGGCTCTTCAAACTGAAACACATGGAGGGCCGGAACCACTTGAGTCGGAACCGAATCCATTGGGCTTGGAACTACTAGCACCCAACGAATAGAAATTCATAGTGGGTAAAGATGCCTTCATATTAGATTATATAAAATTGATATCTAAATAGATCCCTAATGATTCTGTCGCTCAAAGTAATGCCCCAACTCCCCTGCCCAACTCCTCTGTCCAACTGCTCAAGCCTTTTGACCTGTTTAACCTCTACAACTTGCGTGACCTGTTCGACCGCATGACATTCCGGCCAGGCCGACTCAGGACCTCACTAACCAACGACCCCGCTACCAAACGACACCGTGACCTCACGACCTCACAACCTCACGACATCACAACCTCACGACCTCACGACCTCACGACATCACAACCTCACGACCTCATGACCTCAAGGCCTAATGAACTCACGACCTACCAACCTCGTTACCCAGTGATCCGTATGTACCTGTTAGTCAACGTTTATAGATTATTAAAACAGTTATCTCTACTTATTGTCAAACTGCAGGTGCTGCTCGGCAGGTTCCCTTGTTATTACCAGCGCGCTTATGACAAACATTACACTGTTGAGTGGCATGATTTCGAATTTCAGGGAGACCGCCTGCACTTACCCAATTTTGCGATCAAAAAAAGAAACTAAAATGCATTTATATAATTTTATCCAATGAGTAACAGAGAATAAAAATACTATAAATACCTAATTTTGATTTTGATAACCCTTGTATACCATATCAGGCTGAGGCAATTAACCCTCTATAGTCCGTATAGGTTTTGAATCAAGAAATGATACCAAAATGGCTCAGCCTAGTATGGCATACTAGGCTGAGCCAATATTTTTTATTCCAGTCTCTCTTATTAACGGTTTTTTTTTCCAACTAAACTGCTTATATATAGGGCTTCGTATCCCCTTCGAAATTTAGAGATCAACCTCTTCCTTACACAGAGTTGTTCTTATTTGGAATCACAAATTCTCAATTTTGCATACAAATCCTTATGAGAATTCCTAGAAATCGTCAGTACAAATATCACTTTGATTGTACAATTGATATTGCGTAAAAGGTGAATAGTATTTCAAGGTTTTGAATTTTCAATCAAACGGATATGACTAATATTTCAGTGCAGTGCTGTAGTTATGGCTGCCAATGTGCAACAGTATCAAGCGGTACGAGCGGAAGGTACCAACGCTGAACTTGCGGACTGCATTCACAATACTTTCAATGCGATAATATCGTGTCCCCAATGCTTGAGAGTTGGCAGTAATGGTACTTTTAGAAAGAGCAGTGCGGGAAATATGAATTCAAAAGGTCAACGATATAGAAGATTTGTTTGCAAATGTGGGGAACTTTTGAGCTCAGTTGCGAACCAATCATCTGTACGAAAAGATTGCACCAAAACACTTAGTACAACTGACTTTATCGAACATTGTCGTCAATTTCCATCGATTGGAAATGAAATAATTGATACAATGCAAAGGGAAATACTCAATAAAGCAAAAGAAGATTTTCAATCGACTGGATTTTCTCCCAGCAAAAAACGTATCGGTGTTGAAATAAATGAGTCTCAACCAAAGCCAAAACGCAGAAATAAGGACTCATTACCTCCTCGATTGGCAGCAACTGATGATAAAACTGACAAAACGGTTTTACTATCCGAACGTGACGAGATGAGAGACTTAAAAACAGAGATTATCAATATCCAATTACAACTGCAACAATTATTGGAAAGGCTAGAAACAATGGAGACTAACAAATCCAATATCAAAATATGCAAACCGACAAGTATAGCAACTGGTAAGTAACTATCTCTCGTTATCATTTACTTTGATCTTGATCTGAAAAGATCGCTAACGAATTGAATAGAACTACCAGATCTTTCGGTACCGAAAATTGATTCACAGTTATCAACGTTATCATCATTCAAGCATCAAAGGGAGCGTCGAGTACCTACTGTAGCAAATTTCAGTAGGCAACAAAAACTACCAGAAAATATTATACCAAGATGCGATCATATATATATAAATGGTTTTGTTCGGGGATCATACAGTTCAACAAAAACATTTTTGAAATCATCATGCAAAGTTCAGTTGCGAAAGATATTGAATTTAAGTTGGATCAATAATGATATTTTGGAAATTGTTGTTCTCTCCTCTTATACTACAAAATTGAAAGAAAAAATTTCAATTATATCTTCCTTATCGGTATTAAAGAACTTTGACCCATTGAATCCAAAATGCTATAACCCTGATATTGAGCAGTCCAATGTCAAATACGATGCTATGAGGAAATCATTAAGGCGTGCAATGATCAAAGGTCTCGCTCACTCCTCAAATGATTCAAGCAATTCTAAAACGAAAGACTATATAAGAGATTGGATAGGAAAACATGGATGGTCCAATGAATTCAAAGTTCAATTGACAAAATCCAGAAATTCATATGCGAATGCTCCTGGTATGCTTTCCTCGATATTCGTTTCTATATCTAAAAGCTGTTCGCTTTGATTTTTAATATGCTAATATGGTTTAGGGTCTAATATTTTCAGTGAATCGAAATCTAGTTTTGAATTCGAAGAATCGATGGAATTATGAGTACCACAATGAAAATTGGTTATGTGAATGTCCATTCTTTACAGGACAGAAAGTTTTATCACATACTTAAAATGTTAGAACATGATTATGATTTTTTGTTTTTAGCCGAGCATTGGTATACCAATCATAGTAGTAGAATGTCTAATCCGGCGGTGATTGGAACAACAATTTTACCTATATCGACAATCTCAGAAAAGAAGAAAGGGAGGTTTAGCGGTGGTATATATTTGTTAGCTTCACAATGGTGGCGAAACAAGGTTCTAAAGGTGGAAGGTACGCAGCATACTTTGATAGCATGGTTAGAAGGTGTAACATTTGCTGGAGTTTACTTTCCTCCCACGACAATGAACGCTTCAGACATTCAAATCCAACTAGCAGCGTTACCTATAATTGATATATTACTAGGCGATATCAATATTCGATTTGGGGATCAGAAAAAAGTTGGACCGTTGGATAAATTGAAGGTTATACATGACTGGGAATCAGTGGCGGGATTATCTAGAATGAGACCGGATGGCAAAGCGCTGGAACTTGGCACAGATCATGCATTCATTAAAAACCGATTATACAATCAAAACCCACAACTGTCGCTTGAATCTACAGCAATAGCTGGTATTCATACCGATCACAAGTATATTCTTAAATTATATCTCAAGAATTATTCCGATTCTGCATTCAAGTCTGAGCACAATTACCATCATATTTATCGCTATCGAGTAAACAAGCTTATGAAGAAAACACCGTCATATTCAAACATCAATATCACTTCTACAGATTGTTGTTTACTTCCTTCGAAAAAGAAGGAGTTCTCTGATTGTTACAAAATGATTGACGACCTTGTTCGTCTAGAGAAAGATTCTGCCACAGATAGCAAAGATATAGATTTATTGGATGTTATCTTGATGACCAAGGTCCAAACTGCATCTGAAGTAGTATTGGGAACTATTTCACCTTATCAGGAAAGACTCTGTCCAGATAAATATGTTAAGCATTTGGTCGGTTCCAACGATTGTGGTTCAACAGTTAGTCTCTTTAAACGATTACAACGATGTTCATCGAAATCGAGAATAATGAGTTCGGACAACAATTCAGTTACAGTAATGCATGACCTGGAAAACAAATATTCAAAGGTTTATGACAGCCAAAGTATAACCCGGAATACCTATATCAGACATTTCCCATCCGTCAACGATAGATTATATCAAGACTATTTATTGCGATTGGTGACCGTTGATAAAATTAAGGAATTTGTTGCAAAGTTTTCAACAACGAAAGCATGCGGGGAGGATGGAATTCATATTTTACAGATTAAGAATTTGATTGAAACCGAATTCATTACAGATTTATCATTTCTCTATCAAATGTGTATAGAAACGTGTTCAACTCCTGAACGCTGGAATAGTTCGATCCTATATCCATTACAAAAAAACTCCACAAAGCCTTATACACCATCAAATACAAGACCTATTTCTGTTCTTGTAATGTTTAGACGGATATTTGAGAGTCTAATTTTACCAATATTCGAAGATTCGATATGGGATTTCAATCAAATGAATCCTTGTCAGGGTGGTTTTCGGTCTAGTTATTCAACTCAAACTCATGCTTTAATCCTCAACCATAGCCTTGCTTCAGGAAAACGACCTCTGACGGTCTTTTTGGATTTTGAAGCTGCATTTGATAAAGTTAGTAAAGAATTGTTGGTGCAAGAGTTAATTGATAATGGAATGCCTCAATATCTCATCTGTCTACTCATCAGCCTTCTTTTTCAGTCAATGTCATATCATATAGTTGTGAATGGTACGGCGTCAAAGAAGCTTGATCGAAATATCGGCTTGCCACAGGGTTCACCACTCTCACCGGTTATTTTCAAAAAATTCATCAACTCGCTTGTTTCTGAACTGAATCCCACAATTGTTACGAAAGATCAATTACCTTCAGCTCTATTTTTTGCGGATGATGGCGTTTTGCTTGCCACTGATTGGGGTCATGCAACCGCAATGTTAGAAATATGTGAGAGATGGGCCAACAATCATGCAATGAAATTCAATGTCTCAAAGTGTGGTGTAATTGATAAACTGGATCTTCAAAAAGAACAAACCATTCAATTATGTCTCTACGGAGTACCGATACCTATCGTGACTACATATGGTTATTTGGGGTTTCCTATAGGGTGTGATGGCATTGATTTTGAAAGGCATCGGGATAATCTCATTGAAAAAACAATGAGATTAAAAGGATTTCTTCAGTTCCATTCAGATTCTTGGACACCGCGTGTTCGACTCAATATGTACAAAACATATCTTATGCCAACAATGGAATATGGCGTTGAACTATTTGACCCATATATGAAATCAAAAAGGAAAAGTACCTTTCTCAAACCTTTGGAAAAGGTTTGGAATAGTTGTATGATTTGGGTAGCTGGTGGGCGTTCAAAAAGGCCAAAACTGTTCGGAAACCTGTGTGGAGTACTTGAATATCGAAAGCGTCTACAACATCTTCGTTGCAGCTTCCAATTACATTTAGAACTTATGAACGAAAGCAATCCATTAAAGACAATAATTAAACAATTACCTAAAAGAAATACGAAGAAGCTTCTAATTGGTTATTTACGGAATGATAAATTGTATGATCGGTTCATAACGGAGGAGAATGCATTTTTATTACCACGTCAACCTTCCAAAATACGACTACGCTCTTTTCTTCTTCGAGATAAAACTGGCAATATAATCTACAGGAATGAAAAAATGAGTAAACTATTGGCAATTGTTGAACCTCATTCACGTCTGAAGGGTTTGGATATGATCGATGTTTTAGGTGAGTATTTCATATTACAAACTTTTAGTATGAATGCTAATAGTATTTGTAGCAATTGACGATCCGAAGATGCAAAAAGATTTATGGGATTGGCGAAGAGGTATCTTTGGTTGGGGTAAAAAGTGTATTTGCGGAATAAGATTTGATCGAGGGCATGTTCAATGTATGGAAAAACTAGGATTATTTGACGGTATTCTAAGCGTATCAGAAACGGATTTCATGGAGCTTGATAAAGCTTTACTTCCACTATCAACAAAATATACTATTATCGATTATTTACTCAACATTGGAGGTCACAACCGTGCATATCAAATATTGGTTAAGTGGAATAAAATATTATCCGAACATTTTCTTAATGAATTAGCATTACCTTGAATTTCTATATTTACTTATATCACAATTGATTTTATCTGGCTTGTATACTAGTATCTATTTATAATATAAGTCTCGGAAAATCAATGGGGTGGTGTGGTGGTCTGGGGCCGCTATAGTTTGGTTTTAGATATTTTTGGATTTGGATTGTGTGAAGAAAGTATGATAACTGGATGGAGCAACTAACTTGGTAATTTAGGTTAAGATCTTTTCGTTGGCCCTTAGCCTTTGACATACTCTTCCTATTTTCCAACTATTGTTTTCTCTGGATTCCTTTTTTGATTACCATTCGTTATTCAATTCTCCAATCTGTTCTATACTTTACTCCGCTGTACATGCTATTGATGATGCATGTATTTAAATCCTTTCATCCCCGCTGAGTGGTTAGTTTAGCAGCTTATACCGTAGATTATGTCTATCGTATTTGTAATTAGTCTAGTAACTATCTCCCTAGCTAGAGTCGAATAAAAACACTTAATCACTAACCCTAACTAACCCTAACTAACCCTAACCTTAACAACCTCAAAATCCTGTCCGACATTTCACTACTAGGACCCTAGCTAACCCTACCCTTAACTCTACCCTTAACCCTAATCAACTTTATTAACAATCCGAGTGTTATGAATGGCTCGGATAAAAAATTCAACTAGTAGTACATTCTGTAGAAGAAGATTTCTCTCAAAGAATGAACAATCTTGAAGATTGACCAAGAAGTGCCAGAGTTGGAAGAAGCTCGGCTGAAAAGACTTATTAAATCGCTTCTGCCTAAAGATATGGCTAAGCCAAAAAACTGGTTCAATAAACGCAAGGTGGTAGGGTTCTCATGCCCGAAAAACTTGATTTACTTATCTAACTGCAATATAGGGAAAAACCGCCCCCAAGATAGAGGCTCCGGCCAAACCACAGGGTATAAAAAAGATTCAGAAGGTTCGAAAACCTACTGCACCGACTACACGGAATACAACTCAGAAACGGGTCGCATCCTCTACCTTCGTAAAAGGGTCAGGGAAGAAAGTGAAGGTTTAAAATTGTTAGCTACAAATTTTAACTACGATAAGCCCTCTTCCTATCTGGGTACGTTATTAAATCTCACCGCCCATTTGCAAACAGAAATCTTGATCGTGAAAGCTAATACCGAAAGGTTATTAGCGCTTCGCAGGTTTTGGCCAGATCCTAATTTCGAATCAGGGCTTTCTGTCCCAGACTGGGTTAGATATGAGTTGGGGGTTAATTTAAAATATCTGTATCCTATCGTGTTTAATAAAAATTTAATCTCCACTGCATTTGATGAATTTACCTATTCACTATGTGGGAAATACTTTTGCTTTAACCGTGACAAAAACAATGATGAACCATGGAATCCGGAATTCTCATTTACGAACGTAAAAAAGTATCCACCGAGAATAAGTAAAACACTTGAGAGTGGACTTACATGTAGTGAGCTTTCCCTTCACAGGGATTATGCGGAGCCCGTAAGATCTAATACCTTACATCGAGACCGTCGCTCCCGTTGGAAAGAACTCTCTCAATTCCTAGAAAGTCAAAAAATGATAATCAAAGGAACGGACAAGAACCTTGGGCCTGTTATCCTTTCAGGTGATTGGTACATAAGCGAAGTGGAGAAATTTCTCACTGCCAGCCAAAACTACTGGAAATTAGAAGTTGGTTGGGTAGAGAACCCTGGTCCCGCCTTATTGTCTTACAACGAGGATCACACGATCAACGGAAGATTCAAGTGGCTAGCCAATACCATCCATGAAGTAAGGCGTGATCTTACCGATATCAAACAATGCCTTATCGATGTAGCTATCAAGCAAGAAAAGGAATACCTTGAGTGGTGGAACTTGCAATTTGACATCCCTCGATTTCATTGTATCTCAAAGATCCATAAGAAACCATGAGCCATTCGTGCTATTGCTCCCGTATATTCTTGGGTTAAATCCTCCCTTGCTAAATCGGTACATGTTAAAATAGCCGGTGCCGCTAATGCAACACCATGGATCGTTCAATCGGCCAAGGATATTGCGGTACTACTACGCAAGGCTATTATCCCTGACCGCCAGACCCGCCGTAAAATGTTCGTTTGCATAGGCGATGTAGTTGCAATATACCCGAACATCCCTGCAGATGCAAACTCTATCATCGCTGTATGATTTGCGGATCACCCGGGCCAATTAGACCCCGTTATGAATGATAACATACATCTACTGCAAAATGCCATCAGAATCATCAACCAATATAGGGTGGTTGAATTCAATGGCTCATTCTATTTACAGCTCAAAGGTTTAGCAATGGAAGCTGCCTGCTCCCCTGATATCGTAAATATTTATGCTGCGTACTACGAACAAAACGTTAATTTTAACGTGCAAACATTCGAGCATGATAATCCAATTAAAGTTTATTGTCGCTATATCGACGATCGTTTAGCTATCATCGAGGCTGACTCTGCGGAGCATTGTTGGGCAATTCTTGGTAAACATAATCTTGGATCGGTACTCCGCACCGAATGGTCTGTAATTGGTGAAGGGGAGGGACCTAGTCCGTTCCTCGATTTAGAAATCGATATTCTTTCCAGTAGCACACTTGACTTTAAGCTTTACCGAAAATCTTTGAACTATTTTATGCATATACCATGGAAGAAAAAGTTAAGGTTGAGTCTCGTAGGAGCGCACGCTTGAAGGGAGGGGATACTTTCATGTATCAATGTAAAGAACCATGGGCGAGGTAGAAGCTGAGGGGTCGAGGGACATGGTTAGGTTCCCCGAGGGGAAGGGCTGGCCTCGCGTGAGGGCAAGAGAGGGTGCAGGGGTATACCCGAAGGCAGGGACTGAGGTCTGTACAAGGACAGAAGAGAGGGCAGCGACGAAGGTCTGTACGAGGACAGAGGCAAAGGTCCGCACGAGGGCGGAGATAACGGTGGTCGGCGGGTTAACCGAGGAGGATGCGGCGAGGGGTAGGGAGGCGGCGAAGATCATAACAGCGGATGCACGGGGCAGGAGGGACAGCAGACGTAACTTGGGTTGAGAGTAAGATAATGTATTTGAAGCGAGGCGAACCCCCAAAGTAATAACCCAAAGTAGAATACAAGATGTTGCATAAGGAAAGAGAAAGAAAGACAACAGGAGACACAAGCGACTCTTTATAGCAAGGGGATGACAACCGATTATTAATCCCACGGAACCTTCCAGACTTCCTAATAACTCATACGTTTGATATAGCAGTATGGTTCGTAACAGTTTAACTCCTCCCCCCAAAGGCCAGCTCCTGCGAGCAAGCAGACAAGAACAATATAAGAAAAGAAAGGTCTAGCTAAGTAAAAAGAGAAGATCGACACCAGGGAACATAAACTAGTACAGTCCCATTTACCAAAGAAACCATAAGAAACTTATACTTTCCCCCGTAAGGCCCTCTTAGGGACTAAGGCGGGTTTAGTAGGGTACAGAGAGTGAAAACGTTGCAGCGATCCTAACTCCGCATCGAGGTTCCGGGCAGGTTCCCAGGTGGGTTGTTCATAGCCTGTCCATTTGACCAGGTATTGTAATTGCCGATGACGTATCCGCGAGTCTAGCACCTCCTGCACTTCAAATTCCTCTTCCCTTTCGACGATTACTGGCGGCGGAGGTGGTTGTATATGGCCAGGAAGAGGTTGCATTCGGACGGGTTCTAGCAGGGAGACTTGGAATACAGGATGGGACTTCATCGATGGGGGAAGCTACAGTCGGTAGGCGTGAGATCCGATGCGCTCGATTATTTTGAATTTCCCTAAGCGTTTATAGTCCAATTTATCCGATGGCCGAGTGGTTCGTATGTGTTTTTGCGACAACCATACCAAATCCCCTACTTCTAGTCGTGGTTCGGGGAGTCGGGTGGTGTTGGCGCTATCAGCAGCGGTGGCTTGGGCGTACAGGATCTCGGATCGCAATGCGGTCTGTAGGGTGGTGATCAAGTTGGCAAACTCTAATACTTCCTTCGGCGTGGCGTCGTGTCTCTCTTCGGTGGGCAGGATGTCTAGTTGTGGATTATACCCGTAGTTGGCGAAGAAGGGACTAACCCTTAAGGGCTCCGTGGTGGCATTATTGTGCGCGAACTCTGCCAGCGGGAGAAATTCTGCCCAGTTGTCCTGTTGGTAGTTGACGTATCCCGCAAGTATTGTTCCATGATTGCATTTACTCCTTCGGTCTGTCCGTCGGTTTGTGGGTGGAAGGCGGTACTGAATCGAGGTTTGATATCCAGCTGGTTGCACAGTGCTTTCCAGAACTGCGAGTTAAAGGTCGTGCCCCTGTCCGATACTATATCCTTTGGCAGCCCGTGAGATTTCCAGACTTGTTGTAAGAATAAGTGGCCAGTTCGGGGGCGTCCGCCGTATCTCTAGTGGGGATGTAGTGGGCCATTTTGGTGAGTCGATCGACAACTACGAGAATGGCGTTGGATCCTTGTGACTCTGGTAGGCCGGTGATATGGTCCATTGACAACGAGGACCAGGGTTTGACTGGGGGAGCGAGAGGTTTGAGGAGGCCATAAGGGGCATATCGGGCCGGCTTGATCCGGGTGCAAGCGTCGTAGTGGTCCACGTAGTGGGCAACGTACTTTTGCATTTGGGGCCAGTAGTAGTTTCGTGACAGGAGTTCCAGCGTACGGGCACGTCCCGGGTGTCCGGCCGGAGGTGCGTCGTGGTTGGTGCGGAAGATCTCCAGCTTGATAGTGGCATCGTCGGGGATATATAGTAGGCCCTGATAGTACAGTAACCCATCCTTGATTGCGCATTCCCCGATGGGAAGGAAGCGAGAGTGTTTTTTCCTTGCGATGATGTCCTTCATCAATTGTTTGGACAGCGGGTCGTTGGCTAAGGCAGCCTGCAGTTCATTTTGCCGGGCGGGTGATACCTTGGCGGGTCTGGGGACCTCTAGTGCGGCGGCTAGACGGAGGTTCTTTGGCTTGAGTATAACCTGATGCTGTTGGGTCAGTCTTTCATCCCCTTCCTTAGGGAGATCTCCAGATCGACGTGTGAGGGCATCAGGTTTTCCATTCTTCGTACCCGGTCGGTAGGTGACCACAAAGTTGAAGGAAGACAGTGTTAGGGATCAGCGAGCTTGGCGACGGTTAAGGATCTTCGTGGACATGAAATGTTCCAGGTTCTTGTGGTCGCAGTGTACCGTGATCTCCTGGTTACTCGGTTCCAGGTACTTTCGCCATTCCTCAAACGCGCGGACAATCACCAGCAGCTCCTTGTCGGAAATGTCGTAGTTGCATTCGGCTGACATCATCTTATGGGAGTAGAAGGCCACTGGGTGTAGGATTCCTTGGTCGTCTTTCTGGGAGAGCACGGCGGCCGCGACAAAATTAGAGGCATCGGTTTCCAATATACAGGCCCGTTCGGGGTCGAAATGCTTCAGTATTGGTGCCGTGGTGAAAGCTTCTTTTAGTTGGTTGAAGGCGTGGTCCGCGGCGGGGGTCCATACAAACTGGGCGTCCTTCTTTAGTATGTTCGTCATCGGGGATACCACTTTGGAGTAATCGCGGATGAATCTCCGATAGAAATTTGCGAATCCCAAAAAGACCTGTATGTCGTGTACCGAGGTAGGTGTTTTCCACTCCTGTATCGCCTTGGTTTTATCGGTAGCCATGGTAACCCCTTCGCCCGATATGATGTACCCTAAGTACTCCGTACGATCGACGTGGAACTCGCACTTCTCGGGCTTGCAGTGGAGCCCCGCCGCTTGTAGTTTGTCCAGGATGGTGTTGAAATGTCGCTGGTGTTCCTCCTCCGTGTTCGAGCAGATCAGGATGTCGTCGAGGTACACCGTGCAGAAGTCGTCGAGGTGGGTCCGGAGGGTGTCGTTCATGAACACTTGGAAGGTGGCGGGTGCGTTGGTGAGTCCGAAGGGCATCACCAAGTATTCGAACAGTCCATACCGGGTCTGGAAAGCGGTTTTCCATTCCTCCCCTTCCTTTATCCTTATCTGGTTGTATCCATTGCGGAGATCCAGCTTAGTGTAGATCTTGGTGTCTTTGAGTCTATCCAGGGTGTCGTTGATCAGCGGCAGTGGGTAGCGATTCTTGACCGTGAGGGCATTGAGGGCGCGATAATCCACACATAGTCGTAGGGAGCCATCCTTTTTCTTGATGAATAGGACGGGGGCTCCGGCGGGGGAGGAAGAAGAGCATATGTAACCTCGAGTCAGTTGGTCGTCAAGGTATTCCCGAAGGGTCTTCAACTCTTCTGATGACATACTGTATAATGGGCCAAATGGCGGTTGCTTGCCTTCTTGCAACGGGATCTCGTGGTCGATATACCGATGGATAGGGAGCGCTTGGGCCTCTGACTCTTGGAATAGGTGGAGGTACTGGTGGTAGGTGGTAGGGACCAATTCTTCGGTGGGGTTGGACGACGTTGGGTTCGGACCGGCGGGACGAGCAGCCAGGAGGAAGAGGTGGTTTTCGGGCTGTTGTGCTTCCCTATGGAAGCGGGCCGCCGACAGAGCGATGGTACGGCGAGGAGCGGTAGGCCTTGGGGGTATCGGGGGTGGTGGTAAGGTGGTGGTGGCGGTAGATCTCGGAGGTATCGGTGGTGGTGGCAGGGTGGCGGTGGCGGCAGTCAGCGGAGAGGAAGCGAGGGTGGAGGCCCATAAGGCAGCGGTATGTTGTCGGCATCGGTCGGCGTGGAAGGAGATAGATCGGTCTGCAAATTGAATTTTGGCGGCATGGTGTTGGAGCCAGGGGAGACCCAGTACTACCTTAGTGTCACCTAGTTGGGTGACAAATAAGGAGATCCCTTCCACTTGGGCGCCTACTTCGAGGCGGAGCTTGCAGGAATGAGTAATAGCTCCGGAAGCGATGGGTCGGCCGTCGATTACCTGTAACTGCCTAGGCGTGGGTAGCGGCTCGGTGCTGTAGCCGCGGGAGTGGGCAAACGAGGCATCGATAAATCCATACCCGGTGGCTCCTGTGTCGACTAGGGCGTGGAGATTGTCCTTGTTCCTAAACAGCAGTATCGGTATCTCGAATGGTTCACAGTCACCGGGGTGGTGGTGTTGCCCAATCTTGAGTTTGGCACCTATCCGTCTTGACCGTAGTAGTCGCCTGGCAGTATAGGGACCGGAGCCATCCTCGACATGGTCTGTGCCACGGTGGAGGGTGATGAGTGTGGGGCGTAGTGGGGCTCCTAGCTGGTGGAGGGTGTTCAAGACTTTAACCGGTGATGGGTAAAATCCTAACCCGGTGAGGTACGGCCGGAAGGTTATGGAGGCTAGTGTCAAAAAACACCAGCCCGGGTCATTCCCTGTCGGTCGTTGCCAAGGGATGGAGCGTCGGAGGAGGCGGCATTGTAGGCGGCGAGTACGCTGGGGTGGCTTTAGTGGTGGGATGTGGTCGGCGAGTGGTTCCTTCATGGCCTGCATGCAGAGTCTACTGAGAAGGTAGGCTATAGTCCAGGCTAGAAGGAAGAGTGCGGCATTCGTGAACATTATGATGGTGTCTGTGGTCTCCGCGGAGAGCGAGGGTATCGATGGTCGCATAAGCGAAGCAAGTTGGTGGATGTCAGTCGACCCTAAGTGACGCAACATAGTGTAAAGAACCATGGGCGAGGTAGAAGTTGAGGGGTCGAAGGACATGGTTAGGTTCCTCGAGGGGAAGGGCTGGCCTCGAGTGAGGGCGAGGGAGGGTGCAGGGGTATACCCGAATGCAGGGACTGAGGTCTGTACAAGAACTGAAGAGAGGGCAGCGACGAAGGTCTGTACGAGGACAGAGGCAAAGGTCCGCACGAGGGCGGAGATAACGGTGGTCGGCGGGTTAACCGAGGAGGATGCGGCGAGGGGTAGGGAGGCGGCGAAGATCATAACAGCGGATGCACGGGGCAGGAGGGACAGCAGACGTAACTTGGGTTGAGAGTAAGATAATGTATTTGAAGCGAGGCGAACCCCCAAAGTAATAACCCAAAGTAGAATACAAGATGTTGCATAAGGAAAGAGAAAGAAAGACAACAGGAGACACAAGCGACTCTTTATAGAAAGGGGATGACAACCGATTATTAATCCCACGGAACCTTCTAGACTTCCTAATAACTCATACGTTTGATATAGCAGTATGGTTCGTGACAATCGATTAGATAATCCATTGGGTTATGAGGAGTTGGATTAGTCAGAAAGGTTTTATTGAGTTCTATCGGGTTCTATCGGTCGCAAATGTGTAAGTCACTCTGGATTTGTCATCGCTGGGATTTCCTTGGGTATATTAGTAGGTTTCGCTCCCGTTTCTGTTAAGTTTCTCTTCTTTCTTTTGATATGCAACGTCTTCTGTACCTACGCTGTCTATTACTATATAATATTATTTCCTTTTCTTCAATCAAGAACACTAGCATGCCACTACTTCCCTTGTACCGTTGACCCTTACCAATGCTAGAGTCCCTCAGGACCCCTATCGCAGTCTCCAATACCAAGCTCTACTACCCCCTTCGTACCCTGCGGAATACTCACTATTTACCCCCTTGAGATTGCCCTACCAGATCTCCATTGAGAAAAGCATCCAAAAAATGCATTTCTATTGCAAAGATATCCGAAAAATGCATTTCCACAAAATGCCTTTCCACAAACATTATTATAGTTAAATCTATTTCCTAATGAAGTTACTCACGTGGTAGAGAGCTAGATATCGGTGGAACACTCTTTATACCATAATGGTCTAAAATATGAATGCAAACGGGTTCCTGATTGGTATCCTGCAAGACGGGATGGGTGATGTAGCTATACATTACTTTCTGTTCAGCCTGAATTGTGTTAACAAAAGACCAGTCTCCAAGCAACTTTCAAATCTCAAGGACATCTTTTCATCTATTAACTAAATTCAACCTGGCACTGAACTAGACTGAGTACTATTGAAGCAATTTAAAACAGTAAATATGTTCATCTATCAGGTACAGTTTGACTTCTTTTCGCTGAACAATTCCTGCAGGCATTGGGTATGCTAAGCGACTCATAAGGAAGAATTGTAATAGTTGCAGTAAGATTGAAACTGGAGGCAAAAATGAAATTAAATCACAAGGCAATAAAAAGAGAGTTTATGGAAGTCAGAGAGAACTTACAAATACCATTTAGAACCTAAAAAATTGAGAGGTCTACTTTTGTACTCTGCGTGATATAAATATATCAGTTTTAAGAACAAAAGGGCCTACAGAATAACAACCATTAGAATCGCTAATATATAGGCCTGGATCCTAACTTATTGCCGTCCAATTACACCTATTAATACTCTCAAAATATATTTTATTGTTTATCTTTACATTCTACTACACTCCAAAGAGATTTGAAATAACTTTTATAAATTTTTTTTATTGTAAACTGTTCAATACAGCAATAAGATATAATTTTGAGACGAATTGGATACCAGATTTGGTTTCCTGGCATTTCAAAACCCGTAACCTAACTCAGTATGCATTCATCATTATTGTTGTTTAGCTATGCATGTTTTTTTTCATTTGGTGCCCGTCGATTTCTCATTGGATAAATGATACTATTGCTGGTACCTGTCAACCGCAACCTCAATCCTAACCCTGGACCCACACCTCCCTGACGAAAATATCCCTTCCAGCTATCGCCTGCCATATTATTTATACCAAAACAATCAAAGCCCATTCTGTAATGCTAGGATGATATATGCGTACAGTTGGTGCTTTCATAAACTTTCCTAAAACTTAATTTTCATTCGACTTTTTTATTATCATTCATTATCACTCGAGTGCTGAGACATCTCAAATCATCTCGTGTTGGAGAACATAAATACTAGCCCTTGCCTATTCCATCTTTAGTTGACATTACAACGTCCTCGTTGAATCAGTGGACGCACTTCAATAACTAATATAAGTACTTTTGTAACCTACTCGGAAATAATTTTTGCTCTTGAACCCTCATCAGCTATTCTAGGAAAGTAGGCAATTTTGTCGATAGCAGTATTCTCAATAATATCCCTTTAAAGATCGGTGTTCCTCAGTTCGCTAAATCATTCCCAAGTATATTTTCAAATGAGTGGGTGGTCTAATAATGCGTCGATTTGCATTGCTGTACCTGTTTCCTGAAGTATATAAACCAATTGACAAGAGATGCGCACCCTTCCATTAGCCACCTTCTCCTATCTGCTATCCTATACCAGTAATTACCTTCCGATACCAGTCAAATACTAATGACACAGGCATTACCTTATGAGCCTTTTTCATCAACCCTTTTATGCGTGCGGCTTTTCATCTTTCATCCATGACTGTTGTATTGGACCGTCTACGAAGGACGTAGACTTGGAGCCGTGTAAATTACAAAACACTCTCATACAGCTGCCGACTCCCCTCCCTACGTACTCATATTATCCTGAGTGTTCAATACGCAGTCATTTAATTACACAATCGCAAACAGAAGCTTTAGTCTAAAATTTCAAAGGCAAGAAATCATTTCTCGTCTAGTATCACTCGGAGATCCATGCAACCTGCTACTGTGCTCTTCCCCACTTCGATTCAATACCACACAGATGATCATGATCAGGACCCTCTTCTCACTGAGTAACGAAGATCTCATATATAGTGGTTTTCGGGATATTTCATTCCAAGATAATTATACTGAAACATACACCTTTTAGTCACATCTCTTATGACTCCTTAATCCCTTCTCCGGCAACTTGAACTTTTTGACTTTATTTTAAGGGAAAAGGTCTAATATACTATGAAATCGCCATGGAACACCTGAATATACCACATTTCAGTGCGCAACGCTGTCTCATGAACCAAACCCGTACTATATGTCCAAATTTAGGAGTGACTAGCTTTACATATCCTAGCATTATACCCAACTCCACCGCAACTGCTACATTTCTGCTTGCTTGCAGGAATTTCTTCGCCATTGGCCCTTCTTGCATAATTTAAAGCCGCTAAACCACGGTCACCCTTTTCTGCTCTTCTATTTTTAGGCCATCCTGGCATTCTTTTTGTTGTTGGAGGTTGACATAGGTGAGGCTCTGCCTCGAGATTCTAAATACTTATTGGCCTCCAATTTGTCATATAAGTGTTTCTCCAGGTTGCAACTGATAAAATCTGAGGGAAATATGAGTTAGGTGCTTGGTTGATAGCAAGAATACAAGCTCAAGCATGTGAGCACGGAATCTGATTTTCCTGGAATTTGGTGCATGTACAAGTATGGGTGTTCACTAAAGTCTATTAAAGAGTCGGAAAAGTGACAAATTGAAAGAATTCGGAAAATCTTACAATTCACTATATAGACTTTGTCATTCCCCCACTCTCTGTCTAGTTTTTGTTGCACCTCTCCGGTATATGAGTCAGCCATTTGAACTGTATTGCTTCGTGCCCAAACATTACTTGTTTCCGCCTCAGTTGTGCAAAAGGAGGTAAATAGAGTTGGAGTTCTGGTAGACTCTGATAGACGACGGAAATGGAGAGCCATCTGGGAATGCCAAATTTCATTCAATAAGTCAAGGATTAAAAGCTCACCTTGGAGTTTTAGGCTATGATTCATCGACTCGACAATGTTGGAGGTATTATGCCCATACCTACAACCTCGGAAAAAATCAGTTACCCACATTTCCCTATCGATTGATTGTAGGTAATCAGAGGCTGTTGGTTTTTCAGTCCGCAACAGTTGCATTTGTTCCTCGTATTTTTGACGGCTTTTGGCGTTTGCAATCTTCGCGAAGTACGCATCGGTAAGACGCGACCCATGTCATGTTCTGAAGTTCTCGCGTAGATGAAAACAACAAAATGCGCGTGAAATATGGGGACCTAGAACCACATCCGCATACATCAATCCTTTATCCCTATCGCTGATAATAGTAGACTCAGTGACTTCGGGAATTGCAGCACGTAAATGTGTAATGAAATAAACCCATGAATCCTTATTTTCCCCTTTCACAATCGCACACGCAAGTAAAACCATATGATTATTTGCATCGATTGTTACAGCTAGTATAAGAGTTTGTACAAAACGCGCTTTACAGAAAGTACCATCAACAGCGACAAGTTTCCGACATTGTTGGAAAGAGGAACGTGCTTGACTTGCTGAAATAAAGATCCGATGAAATCTATTTATTTGCAAATTGTTTTCGGCGTCACTGTAATCCGGTATTGTTTCCATATTGCAGTACACAAAAGGATTTTCTGCGCGTAGGGTACGGAGGTAGGCGGGCAGCTGGGAATACGCATGTCGGTCATATTCCAGCTGATTGTTGGATAAGGCAGTACAAGCTCGTTGAGCTACCTTGTATTGGATATGCTCGCTAAAGTGCACCGGTATTGTGTCGATAATTTCCTTGGGCGTGGTGTTTTTGGTTACAATCAAGTGATTAGGAATCTGTCGACATAGACAGGATTGAGTGTTTTGTGTGCCGTGTATGGTGGCTGCTGAGCCAACACAAATATGTGTAGAGGAGAGACGAGATATCTTCAAATCTTGTTGTTGGGTCAAGGACGCATACACTCGCGATGGACAGTCGTTCCTATTATCACCCGCTCGAGGAAGGTCAGTTTTGCATCTGTAATCCACCCGAGACTTGTCCTTCAAGAAAGTACGGTATTCAAATTTGTCTGTAATAGACCAATCCTGTACCGACTCCTTCAACATATGAAAGGATCCGAAGAGCTGCCCAATTTGAAGAGGAGTTGTGGGCATCATTTAGGGAGAAAAGCGAGTGATATCGTATGAAAGTGTCTCTAGAAAGATTAGAAGGGAGTTCAACAACAGTACGAATACTACCTTTTTATAGTAATTGCAACCGGAAATCACACATTTCAAACAGTGGATCCATTGCCAAAATAAACAGGAAGACGAAACAGAACTGACATTCAAACGAAACGGAATGGTCAGTCAAAACGAAATGCCGCCCAGAAACGAAATGCGCCACCCAAACAATACCCTCTGGCAAAATCATAGGTGACAGAAGAACAGTTAAACCCAAGGTCCTACATGTAGAAGTCAGTATGATAGATTGTAGATGGCAATAGTACCGGCTCTTCTATACAAGCAAAACAGGTCACAGCAAACGAAACAGCTACCCAAACGAAACGGCCAAACGAAACAGGTATATCAAACGAAACAGTCCAGCCAAACACTCTGCCACTGGAGCAGAGGAAAATCAAGGTCTTATTGGGTGCAGGCTGAGGGTGCTTATAGCTACTGGCAGCTATGGGCAGCGAAACGAAACGGTCCTCCTAGTAAACGAAACGATGTTAGCAAACGAAACAGATTCGGCAAGGAAACCAAACTGGGGAAAAGAGAATAAGAGCCTGAAAAAATAAATTATTAGCTGAGTATGTAGAGCTCCAAAGAGGTATGGTGGGGTGTGGTTGATGAGACTGGGTTGCGCACTGAACTGTGGTAGATTCGGGTGTTCCAGGGCGATTTCATGGTATATTAGACCTTTTCCCTTATTTTAATGGTCCACCTAATTATAAATCATATCCTCACACAAGTCTCACTCTCCATGATCATCTTCCCCACGATCACAAACGCCCCAACCGACGGCACAAATAACAGCGATAAGTATACATATCTTAGTATCAATAGGATCCTCAAATTCGGCACAAGAATTCTCAGCTCTCTCAAACTTATCCCTGCCGGGAGCGTCGTCCCATCGTCTCTCAGCGGGTTCAGAAAATGCACAACATTATTGAGAGTAATCACGCCCATCCAGGAGGCGCTCGTACCTGCGAGTGAGGCGATGATCCAGCCGCGCTGAGCGGTGGTGCTATGCTTTGCGTCAAAGTGGCTGAGGAGATAGATGATGATATAAGTTGGCGCAGCGAAGCAGAGGAGGAGCACAAAGACCGCCAATACACCACAAAGTGCCTGCTCAGAGTTAGTGACAAAGCTTGTTGTCGATGTCGCATAGGGTATGGTTGGCGGGGGCATATTTTTCCCAGCAGAACACTTGCTGCTCGCGGTTCTATGTCGATTGGGGGTACGGGTCCTGAGATACTTGGAGGCCCATGGGTGCATCCAACAGCTCCACTAACTAGACTTTTCAGTTCTCTTGCACACTCGTGATCTTGACCCTCCTGTAACTGATGGACACACCGTTCTTCTTCTTTGGGTGATAGAGACTTAATTGGGTCCGACTCTTTCCCAGCATCTTGCTCCTATTCCTAGTTCTTCACTGAGACAATACTCCCAGATGGTTCTGCAGAGGCCTTGTCAGGTCCTCCTTCATCAATCCTCTGCGGCAGCTTGTCCCCATAATGACCAAGATACATAGACAGATATGTCGGCCGGCACATGTTGGCAACGAGGTTCATGAATGATACCACGATGTACGGGTTAACCGTGAACGAGTACGCAGCATAGCCAAACCTCTCTATCTGCGACCCACGTGCCTGATACAGCTCAAAGCTACTATAGAAAATTTGAAAGATGGCAGCGAGAGACTTGATGACACTGTATTCGCAATAGATCTGGATCTGTCGTTCCTCCTCATCCTCGTTTATCAAAGGGCAGACCGTAAAGTGTGGCGGCACCACTACCAACCCATATCGCTTTCCCGCTCTCCCGTCCGCTGTCTCGAGTGAGACAGAGCCCTCAGAGGGAAACCCCAGAAATAGCCGCAGTCGTCGAGTAATCTTCTCACTTTTGAATGGAAATTGCCCGTGTATGGTCTGGTCGCCATACCACCCGAGCGGTGATCCACTGTCATATCAGATCCGATATCAGTAAACCTCAATTTTTTGTCACCGCATGCCAAGTCCAAATTGGTTGCAGCATACCCATATTTCTTGTTCAACTCCCACGGCACCAACATACACAGAGCACGAGCCCTTTGAGCCCTCACAAGCTTCTTTTTCGTGAACATACTACCAGACAAGATTGCTCCGGTTGCAGTTGTTATTCTGTACATTGGACATAGCAATGAAGCCAAGATATTATGAGCCATAGACTCGGTCGGGGCACCAGGGGGTTGATAACTATGATAGCATGGAGGCCATAGTTGAGAAGGAAGAATTTTACTACATCGGTCCATTTTGAGCTCCGGCATACGAGGTCACCACTCGAAGCCCGTATTATTCTATCCTGAACTAGTGACATGACAGGAAATGCGTGGTTGTGGTAGATTTCTTCCTCAGATACTGAGAGGAAGCACGATTTGATTTATGTTGGTGAGATATTGTTCTGGATGGAGCTGAGTATATCCGGGGGGCATTGTTTTCAGCATTTACGGGATTGTTAGAAAAGCGAGTGATAGGTACCGTTCGCTTCACTCAATCTCCGATCAGGCGAACAGGCAAGTCGTAATATGTTTTAGATGTGCTGTCCTCCCAAGAGTCTTCGCTATACACACGCTCACAACGAAAAAAAGTAACTATAAGCTGACAATCACCAATGGGAATACGAACTTGCATTGTGCACATGAACCACCACGATAGGAGACAATTTTGATTAGAGGCTAAATGATTCTAACAAGGATACCTTTGTCTGGCGATGCTGCCCATTGGCTCTACTATGAGGATTAATGAATCAGGGAAAGTCGTATTTTCTTTAATCGCCGTAATGTGTATGTAAAATACAGTCCTCAAATAACTCACTATTTTGAAAGCATCAGGGAATGAATTGGGGAACAAAGCGGGGAGTAAGCTTTTTATGCATCAGGGAATGTGTGAGGGAATGGGTGTAGGAATGCATGAGTAAATGAATTGGGGAACGAATCAGGGAACGAATCGAGAACCAAATCAGGGAATGGGTCGAGGAATGAATCAGGGAGTGAATCGGGGAATGAATCAAGAGGTGTAAAGGCATCGCAAAATGAATCATGTTTATTGAGAAAAGAAAATTGAAGTCACCGGGAGTTGAACCTATGACTTATAGAATGCTATTCCATTCTTTATCAGCTACTTGAAGCTACTGATAATATTTTTTCCTTCCTCATTCTGTGCTTGTAAACTGTATCTAAAATTAAAAATTCGGTTTATTTTGTAGAATAATGTGTTCTATGAATTGTATCCGATATTGTATTAAAAGTCGTAGGTGGTAACAGTGTATGCAATTGGATCAATTACAAGTCGTAAAGGGTAATAGGGTATGTAATTGCATCAATTGATTCATTTACAACAGGCCTCGACGGCAATTGCATCAATCGCCCTTTACACGTCAGGTTGTGTGGGCAATGTGCTTATTGATGCATTAACTCCCGTAGTAGAGTGGCCGTCAGGAGGTACCGCTCGGTCTCGAATTAATAAGAGCCCAGGTTTAATGCAAAAGTACAGAGAGATAAGTGGTGGCAAAGCGCAGAACAATCAATCAGATGACTTAGATTTGATCTTTGAACCAGGGCTCTTCTATCGAGAATCGGCGGTACTCGCGACCGTCGCTTTCTCAGCTCATAATCATCTGTCGATCGTCAAGAACACGTACGTACGGGCTACCCGCCCCGGTGTCACGCCAAACAAAATATCGCTTGGTCTTATACGTAACCCCACGTAACTTCTTTATACTTGAATGGCCGCAACGTGAACCTGCTGGGGGGATTTGGTATCCTATCCCATGGTACGTTGAAACTTGTCAAACTTGCGACCTCCCTTTTCCAGCTATCACTAGCCTAGTGTGGTAATTGTTGAAAATCCTGATTGGCTCTGTTCCGTAAGAAGCATGACAATTCCCTTATTAAATGGTGCACGGTCCAGGTCGCAAGTTTGATAACTTTCATCCTACTATGGGATACTCATTATTCTTCCTCGAGGTGATTCGAGGTCTAATACTACAATCCCAAGGAGAGTTATTCGGTCTGTGTTACACACCCGAATATATATAATATTAGCCTATTTCTTTTCGTTCAACCCCCGACCATGCTGATAATCATAGGGTGGTTCAAGTGGTTCATGTGTCGCTCATAGTATACGAGTTTATGTACCCATCGAATATTTTAACTACCGTGGAAGATGTAGGTACAGGGTCTGTTGGACATATATCGACCGATTCAAGCTAGCCTAGATTACTTTTGTTGGGTTGAGCGACGATACCTCTCCAGAGTTAGCTGACCAAGCTACTCGCCCATGAAAAAGCACTGTGGGGAATTAACTACGTAGAGTACCTATCAGTGAGATATCGAGAGAAGATTGTCCCTTGGACAACATGACCTCATATGGACGAGAAAAAGTACATATTCGAAGGGATGGATGACTGTTTCATTGCAGTTGGGACACGACAGCGCATGCCAGAGAACTACAGTTGCAACTCGATATGCCGGATTGCCAAGATTCTAAGGATTTCGTACGGGATAGCAAAAAATCCGGGATAGCAAATTGATTTTGCAGTAGGAAAAATCATATTCTCAGAGGATCTCGTACGGGACAGCAAGGGATCCGGTGTATTGAGTTCCGGCATATCGAGTTGCGACTGTACTCTACTTATGCAATGCAGGGGGTATGGAATAGATTACATCTCAAGCGAGACGTGAGGTAATATGGTAATACTTATTCCAAGATCTGAGCTGAGTACCTACATAGGTATCGTACCTGATCCATGCAACTCTAGTCGAGCAGGACGAGCCAAACCAGATATCGTATCTGAACCGAGCACACATTCTGATCCAGACCAGGCCCGATGAGCTAAATCGAACGACCACCCAGTCAATTTCTCCAACTGTCTCACTCTGGAGGTTTTACTTTGAGGGCTGAGAGAAGATACTCTATGTATGTCCCACTAGAGCTCTACCGAGACAAGCCAGGACTACACGGTAGATTACGTGTAACGTAGGTAATGACACTTCTCGACCAGGCGCTGTCGTAGCAACTAGGTACTACATAGTACCTAGCTGGGGAGTACACGACAACGGTGTTTAATTCGAAACCATGGATTGATAAGAAAATCACCAGGACAATAAGCGTTTGAAAACACTCGTTTAGCGGCCAGATAGACACCTGCTAGACCTGCAAGCTTTTGATGGATGTTCGCCGGTAGAGGATATACGCATGTAGTCGACGAATAGGAGGTTGAGTATCCCGAAACCACCCTGCATCAGTAGCACATATGTAGCTCAGGGCGATCAGTCATGCAGTCGCGCAGATCCAGATCTTGGCGTTGGTCCTCACGGGCCGGGCTGCCGTACGTAGATGTGAATATCCCAAGTGGTATCTCCACCCACGACACCACGTGGTTTCTACTTGTAGGCCTATAGCTTAGGGGGTGCTCGATCTACTCTGGAGCAGTGCACTCCCTCCTGAGATACAGACACGGTACGCGACACACATGGTCACTGCTTTATAAATTTACGTCATTGTATGTATACAACTCTACTAGCTAGCTAGCAATATGGCGGAGAGGGATGTAGTGTAGGTAGGGTACAAGTCGAGGCGCTACATGATATCTATAAGGAGTTCAAAGTCTTAACTTTACTCCACTGCATTCGGATTGTTATGACCTGATTTGAAGCCTTGCTCCGTAGAGTACATGTATTAAAGCTTAAGTTCAGCCGTACCCGTATACGGTCAAGGGTAGTTAGAGCACCCCATCTTCTGCCCAATTCATCGTCGACCAGATCTGAATCTAAAGCCACTCATAGGGTTCGTATCACGAATCTTGTACATAGCTAGAGTAGTATAGTCTAGTCTATAGCTCTACGGTACCTAGGTTGGTGACGTGGTTGAACAGATAGTTCTGAGATGCTAGCTTTCTTTTTGATTCCCCCCCTCAGCTCGGAGGACATCCTTTTGTATATTATGAGACAACCTGAACATGCACCTGGATCCAAAATCGGGTAGATTATAGCACACGAGCTCGGCGACTAATTGATCTCCTCTACAGTCAGCAACTACGTCTCCCCGCTCAAGCGGTCTTGATCTCGATCCTAAGTACTCATACTCATTCTATGGTCTGCATTTTCCTTCACCACTAGCTCTCCTGATGTGTATATAATCTGCTTAATTTCCATCCCATCATCACGGCCATTGTCAACACTAATATCACCACCACCACAAGAACAACACATCTGGAACTTAAGCTTAATAACAATCCCCTTTCGAATATCTTACGTATACCCCCCTTTTCAAACTACACATAATGTCTACTCCCCCCGGGCTTGTAAGAATTCACAATGTCCAGCATGGCGGCAGCCTCATGAAGTTTAACGACGGGGTCGCTCTTTCGTCTCCCAAAGTGAACATAGACAATAATTGGCACTTCACCCCCACTGGTGGCCCTCCGAACGCTTACATCATTGAATTCATCGACACCAACGGCGTTGCCCCCGGGCATCTCGTTATAACCGTCGAGCCTGACAGAGGGCAAGATAAAATGATGGACATCGTGCTTCGGCAACTGAGAGGTTCGGATACTCAGGCTTGGACGGTTCGAGGTGGTCCGGAAGGGTAAGATCCCACTAGCTTCAATATATATCTTGTGGATTCATGCTAATTGTAGCTATCGCGGTTTGGGAATAACAGCTCGTACCAGATTTGCAGCATGGCCATTCCATTTATGTGTATGAGGCCTGACTTCAATGCCCCAGTGCAGTCGAATAAGCCCGGCGTGCCGGTGTCGGCAATGCGTGCTGAGGGCGGAGGGCCCGAAATGTGGTGGAGGATGGAATATGTCGACGCGAGTGGTTAGAATGAATAGTTGGATCGACAGCTGGATGAATGTCCCGGTGGTGATTTTCGTGAGTGACTCGAGTACTCACTTTGGATGAGGGAGAGATCTTGAGATGTGTCTGGTGCCCAGCAGCTCGCAGGATCTACACTACATACATAGTCGTGTGATAGATTTATTTTGTCTCAAGGATATCATGTAATATGTATCTAGGCTTGCGGTACAATTAGTTAATATTGACTCTTAAGCTATATCGTTTGATAAATTTACTGAGGATAGCTATACGTATATACATATAAGGAAAATTCTACCGAGATTGAAATGCTGCCCCCCATGCACGCCAAGATGGCGGCTAATATACTAATAATTCTATAATCTGATCAACCAATATGCAATTGTGTAATCTCTAATCATTATATTGACCAATCCTTCACTCGAATGTACTGTGACTTTACACTAACTCGCATGATCGAGTAGGCGCCCATATACGGCAGTAACTGATCGAGAGACAAAGGGTCGATAGGCAGGCACGCATAAGTCAACCCGGGAAGCTAAGTAGAGAGCCTGATCATCTTTTGAATCTACTCAAATCCGTTCTACCTAGTTGTTACAACCCAGTTGGGTCGTATTTCCTTCTTGGCCGCGCGTGCCCAGTGTTTTCATTGCTTGGTATTGTTTTTTTATGATAGAATAGTGACCACCGACGTGCCGCGAAACTATTAAATATTGAAACACTATTTACGACCCCAGAGAGCCTGGGTTGGTGTGGTTTAGCAGACAACTCGCGGGGGCCTTCTTCTACGATTCCGCTTCTCAGCACGGAGGTGATATCTTCTCGTAGATTGTGAGACACCCTGAGCCGATAACTTGAGCAGATCGGCGCTCGGCGGCTGGCTATTGGTCCTCGCCATTGTTGGTCTCGGACATCACGTGTTCCAGGGTTAGTAGCCAAAGAACTAGTAGTTACAGACCTACATGCAGCGCGCAGAGTTACAAGTAGCTAATGATCTATGTACTCATCTTGCTTTTCCCAAAGTACATAATCCCCTCAACTTCCTCCTCTTGAGCACTATTATCACCACAACTCCACCCGCACCAGCTCAATAATCCCCTGCCTCTATTATTATTCTCAAAATTCAAACATATATACGATGTCCAGTATCCACGGTGTTGCAAAGGTCACCAATCTCAATCGCGCCTCCGAATTCAGCATACTCAGCCACTTCGGCGACTATGCTGTTCTCCCAATGAACTCGAACGATGACACGCTATGGAACTTTCAGCCCAGCACATCAGGGGGGGCGGAAAACGCATACGTGATCACCCTCTACAAGCCTGATGGCAGTAGAGATGGGAATCTATGTCTGGCGCTCTCTCCTGATCAATCAAACCAAGATATGATCAGCATAGTGTTACAGCAGCTGAGCCAGCCACCTACGCCTGATCAGATGTGGACTCTGGAACGGGCTATAGTTCCCCCTGCGTGAGATTCCACTAGAGTACCTTACATGTCGGCCTTTGAGGAGTGTGACTAATGAGGATGCATTGAGATAATAGTTTCCCAGTGCGATATGCAATCGCAGAGATATGCAATCTCGCTAAACGAGAGTTGTGTGCGGCACCGGGTGGCAATACTCCATTACCGCTGATTTTTATGCCTGTGTCTGCAGGCAAGAATGATGGCCAAAGGGACGATATGAGGTGGAAAATTGATTTCGCCCGCTAAAACTACATAGATATGTATGATTGGTTCTTGGGTATCTTAAGGGTAAGGGTGTAGGTTATGAATTGATATTTATTTTTAATGAGGGAGAAATGTGTTTAGAAGTTCCCTTTAATTGAAGATTTTTATAGAGGGAAATAAATCTGCTGTGTTCGAAGTCTTTTCCTCCTTTTGTTCCTTTGAATCCACGCCTAATTATAATATCTATAATTAATTGGCAATTGGCTGATCAATTTCGCCTGGGATCCGGAAGACTTTGGCCGTTCAATTGCCAGTTAGACACATTCCCAGTCGGCGACCTGGTAGGTGTACGTGTCGAATAATGAGTTTTGTATATGCAAGAAAAGGTCTTTTTGTACTCAGTTTAAACATGTTTTATGCAAAACAAAAATAGTTGTGATTCCGCCACCAACACCACCAAATAATCCCAGCCGCCACCGTACATACCACAACCCCGCAATATTCAAGCAACAATGCCGCCCAAGAAAAAGAAAGAGCAGAGTGGGGCGATATCAAGGATGGGTATTTGCTTAAAGCATTATTAAAGCAGGTAAAACTCGGGAGGCTTAGACTGCGGTAACCGAGGCGTTTAATGCAAAATTTTCTCCTTATGAACGTGAACAAGTCAAAGCACGTATCAACTCCGTGAGTTTACAAAATGAATTGAGACCGATCAGGACTAATCTCCTTGAATTAGCTCAAGCGGCGATATGATGCTTTTCAAAGTGTTTGTGACAACTCCGGATTCGGCTGGGATAATGAAAAGCAAATTCCGACAGCATCAGATGAAGTTTGGACAACTTATTTGAAGGCCAGTGGATAATACAGCTAATCATTTCTATGGTCAAACTAACTCATTTCGGTTCTTTAAAAATTCAGATACACAAAGATGCTAGGCAATTCCGATATAAAACGTTGGCGCATTACGATTTACTACACGAAATCTTCGCCCGAACTTTAGCAACCGGGGCGGCAGCTTCTGGAACAATTGATCAACTAGTACCCAATCGCCCAACAGCAATTCTATGTCAAACCCGGGCAGTCAGTGTCATGAATTCGCCATCAGATCAATTAATTTCAACAGCCGATATTTCAAATTTGAGTCCAGACTCCTCCGATGCTGAGCTTGAATTACAGGGGCATACACAGCTGAAGGACGATAGAATAGCTTTGTCCAACTCGGATGACTATAAAGATTATTCAAATAAACGAGAAGTATGTATTTTTTGAGACGTAATCTATATGTACGATCAAAAGTCTGATGAATCTCTTGCAGGCTGAAAGTGAAACACCGGTACCAACATCAATCAAGAAACCGAGAAATGCTAGATATGCAGCAGCTGAGAGTCTCCAGAAGCTTGCACAAGCCTTTACACAATCGAGGCATATAAGGGCTCCTCCAGTAATGACAAAGCTTGAGGAAGCTTTGAACATTATGAGTGCTTTTGTTACCACAGGGAAGTGGAAAGACGAGGATTATGTTGAGGCGTACAAAATTATGTTAAGGGACGAGAGACACGCGATATTTTTTTACAGCGCACCGGAACACATACAGGAGGGATGGATCGCTACCATGAGGGCAAGCAATTATGAGAATGCTTTATTGGGTTTGTTAGATTAAGGACAGCTCTATCAGGGAGAACTGTCAATTTTCTCCCTCATAACTTTCTCTCTTGCCTTTTCTTCTCGGGGTGCAGGAACAATAACATGTCTGTCCATCGTTCGGTTGCGAACCATATCCTCAAACTCCCGGGCCTCTAACAGTTCCTCATCGGTAACTGATAGCACTATATTGTCGGTATCTCCATGCCTTTTGATAAAGTTGTGCAGAATACAAAGGACTTTGACAAGATGGACCTGAGTCAGAAAACCATACTCGGATTGTGACTTTAGGATCGGAAACCGCTTTTTGAGAACACCAAAGACCCGTTCTATCACATTCCGTAACGAAGCATGCCGGAGATTGAAAAGCTCTTTTGGGTTCTGAGGCTTTTGGGTCCCTTGAGAGAACTCCTTTAGGTGATAGCGAACACCTCTGTAAGGCGTCAAGAAGTTCATTGTTAACCCGTAACCTGCATCTGCTAGATAGTATCTATCAGCGGGCATTGTAAAGCCTCATTCCAACGCGTCCTCCAATACCCTACTATCATTCGCAACCCCTTCCCAACCCGCTAAAATGTATTGGAAGGTTGAGTCAAAAGAACAGACTGCTAATACATTCCGCGCAATAAAACCTTTCCGGCACCGGTAGGAGCCTGCAAGTTTAGCTGGAATTTTAGCTGGTATCAATGACCCATCAAGCGCGCCCAAACAGTGTTTGAAATACGGGTTTCCAGTAATAGCGTCAGATGGCTCATTAGATTCTGGGAGCTTTATATAATCTCCTGCAAGTTTTTCTATTGCTTGCAGTATTGAAGAAAAGTGGCGCGACATCGTCTCCCCTGAGTACTGAAACCGGTCCTGCGCTGACTGATTTGTTGCATTTCTTGAAACGATATAGAGAAAGATATGCAGTTGCTGCTCGACAGAGATCCCTTTAAGAGTATCGGATAGCAGACTTTGCTCCCTTAATAGCGTGCAAAGAGAGATAAACTCATGTCTCTCCATCCGCACATTTGCCAATATAACCCGCGGATTGTCTAACCGTAACAGCTCTTGGGTGTACGCCTCTCCAGACAATATTGATTGATGAAATGGCTTCTTCATCACCGTCTTGAAAACCGCAGCCCCATATATACCACCCGCAAGCATTGCTAACTCTTCCTGCCTCTCCATTTCTTCATCCCGTGATTGCATTGCTTGGTTGACAGCTCAAAGTGACGAACAGTATCTATATTAGCAAACTATCAACACAACGAATAGCACCCACCACTGCAAGGATCTGGGTACCTGTATAGTTTACTCCCACCTGTATTAATAGTATAGCTCGAGGGTCCGGGTCGGGTCAGGGTCGAAGTCCGGTCGCGGATAGTATAGGTCGCGGGTCGAAGGTTGTGAATAGTAGTGGTTGCGGGTCGAGGTCGAGGTCGCGAACAATGTAGGTCGCGAACAATATAGGTCACGGGCCGAGGTCGCTGTTCAAGATAGCTCTTGTATTGTAGATCTTGTAGTTAGAGATGTGTTCACCTGTGGGATAGTATCTATTAGCTTCTGTTATATTCTCTTAATGGGTTCAGAAATACCATATACCTCTATCAAAGATAGATGAAATGATTGACCTTGATGTTGAGTGTCAAATTTTGATTGTTGCGAATCAGAATAGTGGATGGAGTAGAGTGAAGTGGGGAGATCATTATGTCATCTGGATGATAAAGTATACTTTCGCCTAAACATATTTTTTCGGCAAGAAAATACATTTGCTCCTAAACACGCTTCCCAAACGTCTGTTTATCCAAACGGAGCCTAATATACCCGTATGTATCAATTTTCAATCACGTGTGTCACGAATGAAGACCGATGACAGTACTTAATTCAAGAGCCATATATACATTTCCAGGAGGGGATGATAACTATATATCGAATATATCGAATATACAGCCAAACAAGAACTTACCTGCAGGTTTTCCCCTCGAGCTTGAACTCTCCAGGGGCGTCTAAACCCTGGTGAATATATACCGTAAAATCTAAGAAATTTCGTTGCGCTGCAACAGGGATATTCTACACCAAAACTTGCATATTGACGTCCAAAGACTGCCTCCGGTTGGCCTATACCCCTGTTGTCTCGCAACGAATATTCTAAGATTTTGCGGTATTCCATTCATGTACGACCGGGCTGACAATTGAATCCCAATCAGAACTATCACTCGCATTGCGTTCTCGTATTGTGTTGATGATATTGGCTTTTCTAGTTCCGACACTTGTCACTGTCGAGACCTACCACTGCCACGTGGACACACGTCCAATCAATGATTATAGCTACATGGTTAGATCGCTCCTTGTAGATAAAAGAACAAAGACACTTAGACACAATCCTGTCCTACTGCTTCAACAAACTATATTCGGAACACTTTTATGCCGACCACCTGTCGTACTCTCTGGTAGAGGCAATACCAATCCGTTTTGATAAGGGCGACCACTATCTATACCCATCATCCGTTCAAGATCGATCTCGCCTTTCATACCTTTGTTGAACTTGTTATGAGTAAGATATACTTGTATCTCGACGCGGCACAACGCCAGTTTACTCGACGAATTTTGATGTTGGCTGCAATCCCGCGATTCTTGTGTTGTAGATTTTTCTCTTCGGGCGTGTGGTTGGCTGCCTCCGCCGTTCATGGATTTTCAGCTTGCGAGTGAGGGGTGGTGAGCCAAGCCCGGGGCTTGGCGAAGTGGCCGTAGATTTCTAATCCCGAATTCCTTGGTGCCTTATGCTCAGGAGAGATGTCTCGGCTCGTTATACCTATCACTTTCATTCTAGTTTCCACCCGTCACCTTCCTCGACAGTGGACATGTGACTGCAGGAGAAAAGATTCTATAAACTACAAAAAAGCCTTGTCCCCCGGCCCCGGTATTCTAAAAGTACATTCCGAACATATGAAGTACATTCCCAGTCCTACCAATTACTGATCAAAGAACAAGAAGCTCAATAATCCGCCGGAGGGATCTCGACGCCCTCCCGCCTGATGAGCCTCAGGGGGAGCTTCGGCTTCTCCCACAGCATGCCAAAGGTGTTCTCCTGGAACCACTCCTGCTCCGGGTTGACCATCTCCATATCATACGACCAAAGCATCTTGCAGAGGATGAGGCGCATCTCCAGAAGGGCCAAGCTGTTTTTTTACACCGTCAATCAGCAGCTTCAACAATACGAAAGCACATGGAGTGTTAGACTTACTTTCGGCCGAGACACACACGAGAGCCAAGGAGGAAGGGTTGACTAGCGTCTTTCTTATCCGTGCAGTTGGGGTCGATCCATCTCTCGGGCACAAAGTCATCCGGACGATGGAAGTTGAGCTCCGAGTGTGTAGCGGCATAGGATGATGTGTGAACAACAGTCTAGTAGCACGTTTATCAGCAATTTTTCATGAGGGTGTGTGGGGCAGACAGTGGATCAGGGTCATTGATATCGGTGGTATCGTGAGACTTACTCCTTCAGGGACGTATTTGCCATCGATTGTCTCTCCAGGACTGAATCTTGGCATGCCCATTGGGACTGGCGGGTAGATCCTGAGGCCCTCATCGATGACGGCCTTGAGATATGTCAATCGTTCGGTAGCCAGCCCGGTGATCTCGTCATAGCTGTTAAAGGCACCACGAATCTCGTCGACAAGCTTCTTGTAGGTGGTCGGGTTACGGCAGAGGTAGAACGAGGTACCGGAAAGGAAGGTGGCGGTAGTCTCAGAACCGGCAACGCTGGATAGTGCGAAGTGTGGGTCAGCATATACATCATACGTATTGCACTGGTGACTTTTGGCAACAGGACAGGACTCGAAAGGAAAGACATGGAGTGGGAAATCTCTTACATCAGGAGTTGAGAGTTACTCCTCATTTCACCTGGCGTGAACCGTTCCCCAGCGTTGTGTTTGGTGATGAGGACTGTGAGTAAATCCTTCTTGGGGTTCTTCTCTTCGAGACGTCTGAAGGCAAAGAGGGGGAAATCATTAGCACCGCTCAAATTGGATCATTGCTCATGAAGCACGTACTTATTAATCTTGTCCTGGGAGTAGTCCATTTGCTTCTCTCTGGCAATCTTGAGATGTTTTGGCACCAACTGGGGAATGAGTTGGCTGAGAATCCAGTTCTTCTGGAAAGCAAAGATCCATTTCCCTGCCGCCACTCCCTTGGATACGTTGTCCACCCAGAAGTGTGTTTTTCCTACCGACCATCCGTCATGTTAACCACAGCTCCTGCTTCTCGGGTGTCTTTTGGGGGAATGCTAGGAACTATCGACTCACCATCTTCCAAACTTCCAAAGGGATCACCAAAAGCCAAATCGCCAATAATATCAAACGCAACAAATGTATACCACTTGACCATATCGTCACCCTTGGGTTTGGTGATGTGCTTGTTGACCTGCATGATGAACTTGTCGACGAACTGTTGCACGACCGGCTCCTGCTCCGCTAAGGATCTCGCCGAGAAACCATTGCTCAAAAGGCGGCGTAACTTTCCGTGCTTGTGGGGATCCCGCTCACTGAGGATGGAGGGCTCTGTGCCGTCGTTGTAGAAGGAACTCTTGGTGAATGTCTTGCGACCTCCGACATGCCCGTAGATGTCCTTCCAGGAGTTGGCAGAGCTGTAGGATAGCTCGTTGGGGCCGATACGCACAACGGGCCCGTACTTTTCGTGCAGAGACTTGATGAAAAGAGGATAGTTCCCGGCCACCCAAGGAAAGGAAATCCAATGCTGGAGGTATGTCAACACTTGCTACTGAGTATTCGGATATGTCTTATTACCTTTGTGACTGCGGCAAGCTTTGGGCCGGGGTATTGTGAGTTGCCATTGATGAAGAGGTTGTAGAAAGCTTCAACAACGAGGTAAAGCGCACACTATTTTGCCACCGTCAGTGGGTTGCAAATGGTCAATTCATAGCCAATGAACGTACGTATGCTGCTGTCAAAGAGAGCAGGTAGGGATATGTCAAGTAAGGTGTAAACACCTCTAGGCGTGATAGAGTAGAACCCATCTTGGGCAAAAAAATCAGAAATTCCAAAGACTTGATACAACCAGCACTGCTTTCTTTCTCTTTTTCAAGACGGTCAAAGTCGAGAAATGATGTAGTCTTGCTCGGATGATTGCCAAAAAATGAAGCAGACTATGGACGGTCTTTATATTCCAACATTTTTTTGATAGCCACCAGGAATTCCGGGGCAGCAACCTCTTTGATGCAATGATCGTTCGTGACACAATTGGGGGGCGACGATTGTTTCGGATCAATTGTGCTGTGGGGTGCGCGATTATAACGAACTTAACTGAGTATTATTCTCATATACGATATCTGGAAATCCTGAAGAATCTCGTCGTTCCAAATACGGATTGATACAGGACGGAAGCTGGAGTTACCGTTCCGGAATACGTCTACTAGATGGCAGGGCGCAAATAAAGTTGCGGAGCCTAGGTATCTGTGCCTCCACATCTTGCTAACATATTCTCTTGGCGGCACTGTAGAT